CGGTGCAGCTGGTGACTTGGTGCTGTAGCATCTTTGTACCTTCCCCTGGAGTGACATCACCTGTGCTTAGTGTCTTTGTACCTTCCCCTGGAGTGACATCACCAGTTATTGATAAAGCCAGGTTGTTCCTCTGGAGAGACTGAGCTGATCCTGTCCAATGCCTCTGATAGTTCTGACTAACAAAATAAGCTGTGAAGAAGCAATAAGAGCTAACAATTCGCACTTTTTTGATAAGACTCCAAGCCGTCTTACACCCAGTCAGTATTTTCCACGGATCATTCTGTTTTAAACCATTGGTTTAAAATGTAACGATGGCATGACTGTTTATTTGGTGCTTTGTGAAGTTCACTACATGTCACTTTGAGCACTCTGCTATAAGCAGTGTGAAGATGAGACGGGGCTGGATCTAAAGAATGCATTTATCTGGTGATTATTATGCTTGAGGGAATAAAAATGATTTGTTATATTGGGAATTAGTTGTTGTAGGCGATGTAGGAGCCATGGAAATAATCTGTAAGGCAGTCATCTGAAACACACATAAGAACTCAGGGTAAATCCATAATTAAAAAAAACCAAACCCACGAACCAAACATATGCAAGAATGTGAGTATATATTTACATATTTCAATATAAATAGAGAGGAAGTAGAGGAGGTTCTTGATGCTCTGGCCAGCTGAATTGTACAGCTCCTTGCCAGAGAGTGCAGATGCAGAACGTTTACCTGGGTTAAAAGGGAAATTGAGACAGGATTTTAGAGAGGAGAGATCTGTTGAGTGTTACCAAGTAGGACAACCTCATCAGGTTCCTGAAATTCTCGGAGTTGAAAGCACTTGGGAACTGTAGTTGGTGGGGGAAGTATCACTTATTTTTTTCCTTGACATCTGCTTCTGGACATTTTAGGAATCATACTTTAGGAATACCAACAATTGGGTTCTCACACCCTTATGATATCATTTAACAACAAAGCATTAATATGAATATGAAAAAGCTCAATAATTGTTTATTGACTCTTCTCGTATCATGTTTAAAACAGACCTTATATCCTGAGAATGTTTATACAAACCAACATTACATTTCTTAAAGGCACAGGACGGGATGGATTCAGTTCAGCGAGTGTAGTCAAATAAACCTTTCGTGTGTTCATCAAACGCTCACATAACTAAGGATTTCAGTTGGACAAGATGATCTTTAAGGTCCCTTCCAACCTAGAAGATTCTGTGATTCAGATAACAAATCATGACATGTTCTTCTACAACAACGTAGAGCAAATAGAAGGCTTTACCTCCTGTTAAAATATTAAATAAGTTATTCTAGAAGTTAGCAAATCTACTTCCCAAATCCCTAGGAAATGAAAATTTTAGGCTTTGCTTCTTGTGTTCCTCCATCAGGGATGTTTTGGGAAGTAATGAGATGAGAGTGACAACGGGATCCAGGGACTGGCTTTGCTCTGTGTTTATGCTTGTCTGCACACAGCGCTCAGCCGTGTCTCCAGCGGTTATGTTGGGGATGCAAAATGTGTCATGACGTCTCTCACGACAGCCTGTCACCCTGCCCACAGCGTGGGGGACAGTGTGGCAGCTTCAGAAGAAACCCTGGCTACGGACCAGGCACTTGTGTGACTTTTCCCCTGGCAGCCATTAGCAGAGGAGCACCACGATCCACTACCTCGGGTTCAGAAATCCCCATTTAGAAAATGACTAATCTCCTCAAACGTATTTTCACTGGGGCTGTGATTACCAGATGTGTAAAACTGAGCATGCTGATAAGGTTTTCATTTTACACATACTCTCCCATTTCACAAAGGGTTTGGGTTCACTATTTGCATACCTAAGATACACAACAGTGCTTTAGCTCCACTATTCATGCACATGCAAGTTGAAACCACATACAGAATCACAGAATCACAGAATCTTCTAGGTTGGAAGGGACCTTAAAGATCATCTTGTCCAACCGTCAACCTCACTTGGACAAAAATAGACACCCACACAACAAACAAGGAGCATCATCACTAAACCATCCCTCCCAGCACTACATCAACCCGGCTTTTGAACACCTCCAGGGATGGTGCCTCAACCACCTCCCTGGGCAGCCCATTCCAATGGCTGAGAACCCTTCAGTGAAAAAATTTTTCCTAATATTTATACCATAAATAAGCAATTGTGAAAGGCACAAAGACTGTAACAGCCTTCCCTGACACGGCAGACCCTGTCAGATTAGGATATACCTTTCTTTTCAAGCAAAGCTGTGTGCTATCAGTTGAATAAGTCACAACCGTTTACTTTGGAACCAGCATCGTGGCCTTCTAAAAACAGGATTTGTGGGCAGCACTCTGGACACTCAGGAAGTATGGCTGAAGACATCCGAGCTCTAACAAGCTATTATGTTTATTTTAACATCCCCAACAAATGTCAAGTTGTATTTATCCAGAAAACTGTCAAGGGTTTTGCATGTCAGTGTGTTTTCGTCGATTTCAATTTAAACCTCCTAGTGAAAGTCTCAGTGTTTGTCATGCTTGGTTCTTTCCCAGTCATGGCGAGGATCATTAAATCATAAGAAAATCCCAAAGGCAAGCAATCTAATAAAGCAATCCTTTGTTTTGTGGCTGGCATGATAATTCAAACAGAAGGTCAGTCAAAAAATCATGCTTTTTCGGAATGCCGTGGGGAAATGAGGGCGTGAGTACCCAGCCTCTCTCTCTAACCACCGTGCCACAGCAACGAGGAGTGAATTTGCATTTAATGCAAGAGATGAAAGTGTAAAAACCCATTCAGTGAAATTACAGCAAGTTATTTTCACAGCAAGGCACTGCTCGTGTCGGCTGGCACTTCCACAGCTTCCCCAGGGATTTAGGGACTACTGCATGGCTGTGTATAACCCACCTGGCTGGGCTGCCTGCCCCTGAATGTGCCGTGTCCGATGTATCCTAACCCCCCTCTGTACCACCTTGGGGAAGGAAAACTTCAAATATATTCCATTTGCCTCTTTTGTCACCTCTTATCAACGTACCCATCTTCCATCACCTTGCATTCAGTATTGCTAAACTAAATGCTGCTTTGATTTCAGACCGTACCCTGGGTTTGGCTGGGTTTTCTATTTTTTTATTTAACAGCAGTTTCCTGTCTGGTTTGGTTTTGTTAACCATCGCTGTCACCGCCTCTCAGCTGGTAGATAAAACAGCTCTTCAACTACTGCGTTTTCCATGCTTTGTCAAAGATCCTTCAAACACTTCAGTATTCAGTGATGGATATTTTATTTTTCCCCAAACACTCTATAGTTTTGTCTTGGACATAAAAGCATGTGCTGCTTCAAAATGGAAGCAAAGATTGGCTCCAAATTCCCTGGCAAAGCTTCTCATACAGGATAAGATCATCTCAGCTTATCTGGTTCAAGCCTGTCTGCACGTAACGTTTTCTTTGGAAGTTCAGCATCATTGTTCTGTGCTTCTTTGTTCTCATTTCTTGCACTTGGAAGTTGTGGCAAAAGAAAAAAAAAAAAAATCAGCTTTTTATTTCTTTTCTCTTCAGCGCCGGTGGGCTGATCACTGCTGATGTGGATAGAAACATTTTTTCCCTCTAATTGTTTGGACTCAGCCTTCAAACTTCTTATCCCGGATTTCCCAAATTTCTTATTCAGATCCCAAACTTCTTATCCCAAGCCACGGCAGTGGCTTGGCCTATAAGAAGCTGCAAAGCATTGCCTGGAGGAACCCATATCTCCCAATCTTCTGAGCCACTACAACTCGGTGGAGTAGGTAAAACCGAGCCCTGCAAAGCACTGTCATTCACTGGGATGCTGCTAAGCTGCAGTAAGATAAGAAGTTCACTTTTAAACATACCATGATTTTGTAGATCAACCCTTCACTCTCTGGAAAGAAGAAGAGGAACCTTGTGTTTTGTGCTGCATTAGGAGAAATGGGGAGCAGGAAGGTTTTTGTCACTAAGTCAAGATAAGCACAATGGAAGATAATCTCTGCTGCGCTCTGCTAACCATCTGACACAACTTCTGTCTCCTTATCCCCCCCTGGGGCAGTAGCAACTCGGTCACTGCCGGAGCGATATCCCAGCTCAGTCTTCTGGCAACACAAATTATCTCGAAGAGCTACCTCTACAAAGCTCAGCTGGTTGTAGAGAGCAATAACATCACAGAATCACAGAATCTTCTAGGTTGGAAGGGACCTCAAAGATCATCTTGTCCAACCGTCAACCTCACTTGGACAAAAAATAGACACCCACACAACAAACAAGAAGAGGTAGAGAGGTAGAGAGATGGGGGTCGGTCTCTTCTCTCAAGTCACAGGCGACAGGACGAGAGGAAATGGCTTCAAGTTGCGCCAGGGGAGGTTCAGGCTGGATATTAGGAAAAAGTTTTTCACCGAAAGGGTTCTCAGCCATTGGAATGGGCTGCCCAGGGAGGTGGTTGAGGCACCATCCCTGGAGGTGTTCAAAAGCCGGGTTGATGTAGTGCTGGGAGGTATGGTTTAGTGATGATCCTCCTTGTTTGTTGTGTGGGTGTCTATTTTTGTCAGTTAGGTTGACGGTTGGACAAGATGATCTTTGAGGTCCCTTCCAACCTAGAAGATTCTGTGATTCTCTGGGGACCTCACCGGTGCCCGGTACAGAGGGACCACCACTGCCTCAGTGCTGTTGGCCACTCCATTTCTCGCTATCCTGGCTGTCCCGCTGCCCTGTCCCTGCCAGCCCGGCCGGGGTCCTTCTTCAGGCCCAGGCCCTGCCCCGACCCTGTGTCACGACCCCGCTACCGGCGGCCTGAGGGGGCTGAAGGCCGCGACCCCTTCCCGCCGCTCAGGGACCCCCGGGGAAACCGCCACATCCCCGCGGCCGGCCTCCAGCCACCACCGGCAGCCGTGGTCCAAGCCCGTCCCGTTGCTGCCCTTCCCGGCGCCGCCGCCATCCCCCGTCCCGGGGGTGTGTAACGGGACCCGGGCTCCCCCTCCAGCCTCCGCGCCGGCCTCCACCGTCCCGGCGTGCCCCGCGCGGCGGCCGCTCTCCCCGCCGTCTCTGTGGGCGGAAGCGGGCGGGCTGTGTTGTGGCGCCGCCGTTGCCGTGAGAGGCCCGGGACCGCGGCGGGTGAGAGATCCCGGGACTGTGGGGGGCTTCTCCTTCTCTTCCTTCTCCCTCCCCTTCTGGGTCCCCCCCGGGGACGGGAGGGTGGCGAGGCGGGGCTGAGCCGTGCCGCCTCCGGGTGTGTGTGTGGTGCTGGAGGGAGTGCGAGGGGAGGGATGGGCCCTGAGGGGGGGAGCTGGGGTCGTGTGAGGGTGTGGGGCCCTCCGGCAGGGGGGGTATGGGGGGATGTGGGGAGGGAGTGAGCAAGGGTGGTGCGTGTGTTGGGGTGGGGATTCTGTCATATGGACGTAGGATTTGGGGGTTCCTTGGGGTGCTTGAGGGTTGTAGTGGGGAGGAGGACTCGAGCAGGGCTTGGGTTGGGATGGGGGTGTCTCGAGGTGAGCTGGGATAACGTGTCGGTCTCTTCTGCCAAGTAACAAGTGATAGGACAAGAGGAAACATCCTCGAGTTGTGCCGGGGGGAGGTTTAGATTTGATATTAGGAAAACGGAGACATCCTTGAGTTGTGCCAGGGGGAGGTTTAGATTTGATATTAGGAAAAATTTCTTCCCTGAAAGGGTTGTCAAGCACTGGAACAGGCTGCCCAGGGAAGTGGTTGAGTCACCATCCCTGGAGATATGTAAAGGTTGTGTAGATGTGGCACTGAAGGACATGGTTTAGTGGTGGACCCGGCAGTGTTTATTTAACGGTCTGACTTGGTGATCTGAAAGGTCTTCTCCAACCTGAATGATTCTACGGGAGGGTTTGGGACATGTGGAATTGAACTAAGACCTGGAGTTTTCTAGGGTGCTTGAGGGGTTTATAAGGAGACTTGTCAGTCCGAAAGAGTACCCTAATGAGGAGGGTGGCTTTTAGGATGTCTGAGTTTATTTCAGAGTGTGGAGAAGGGGTGTTTTTGGGACACAGTGTCTGGGAGAAGAGAGGTAAATAGAAGTTAGGTGAGTGTAATATGGGGAGTGGAACAGGATGGGCATGGGAAGGGTTGTTAATTAGGTGGGCTGATGAAGGTACAGAGGTGAGCCGGTGGGCTCTTAGGAGGCTTCAGGGTACAGGTTGGTGGGGGTGGATAAGGTGGCTGATGTTTCTGAGAGATTTACGTAGTGGGGAGAGCTTCAGAGCCTCCCAGGGTTGTGTCAGCGTGGTTTGGGCAAGGATTAGGAGGACTGTCCATTGAGGCAGAGCGGTTAATGGGGGAGCTGAATGTTGGGGTTTGAATTTTGTGTAATATGCGTTATTTATGGTAATTCATAGGAGTTTGTGTAGACAAGTTTGTGATGGTAAGGGGTTTCTACATGCTTCCTTTTGGGTATAAGAAAAAAAACCCTGTAGGTTATGTAGGAGCCTGTAGGCCCTTGATAGCCACAAATCCTGTTTTCAAAGTTGAGATAGCATCATGCTTTCAAATTGTTTTTGTTCACTGCTAAATCTGAAGAGTGGCTCTGGTTGCGCTGTAGGTCTGTGATCTCAGTAGCTTGGTCAGCACTGCTGGGAGCGTTGAGGGAGAGCAGATGGGAAGAAGTAGAAGGATACAGTTACTGAAATCTTAGAAGGTGAGAAACTTAACAGCATTTCAGATTAGCCTTTTTATATATGTGAGAAGAGGATAAAATCCACCTTGTGATCCTGCAGAGAAGTAGCAACTCTCCCTCATAAACCACGTCTCAATTCCTTTTCTCTTCTTTTTGGTTGAGAATGAAACCAGGCACTTGAGCTGCAGCTCTGTTGAATGTTTTGTGTTTGATTGAGTAAACCTGAATCTATTTTGTAAATTGGCATCCTGCCTTTATCTGTCTGGGACTCCCTCTGAAGCTGACCCACCTGAGGAAAGATGCATTAGGTGCAGTAGTTATGATCTTAACTATCACATGTCCAAAAAACCATCACAGGCTGCTTCAGGAGCCTCCTGGACTGTGCTGATGTCCATTAAAGCTTTCTGCTCTTCTTTCAGTAGGAAGATCAGAACTTGAAAAAATAGGTGGATGTTGTTGGGTTCAAAAGTGTCCCATGTGCCACCTCTGGAAAGAAGGGAGACCTGACTGAATAGGGAGAGAAGACAAACTCTTGAGAGAGATCCTGGTAACAAGACCTTCCTTGTTAGGGTTCTGCCATTCTTAGGAGGAAACTACTGCTTTTGATGGTTAGATACAAGAATTTCTTGAGTAACAGTATTTGTAAAATAATTTCCTCCATGAGCTATGTACTGGTTTTATGAGTAGATTGTTTTCTAAGTACAGAAAATACAGTGCTCCTAATAAGGTAGGAGTTTGTCTAGCATTTGGCGAAGTGTGACACTTGAGAATTGGGTCTAATCTTCTTATTTGAAGGAGCTTGCGTAACAGTGGAGTAAAGTGTAAGAGGGCTGATTAAGGCTGCCTTAATAATCTCTGTGTAGTCCCTGGAGAGAATTGGCCACTACTTAGGGAGCGAAGGATGGAGGAGCTGTGCTTCAGATGATAACTTCTCAGATGCCTGCTGGGGGAATACCCTGAAGAGTCTTGTTTGTTATAAGACTGGTAAATACGTACTGTTTATGTGAGTCTTACACTAAAGAGTTTTCTTCTGAAGTGTTGTTAGGTGCTTCAAAGAATGAAAAAAACCAAGCTTTATTTACTTAAATCATAACTTATAACTTGTTCTTCCGAAACAATGGCTTAAAATATTTCTCAAGGTCTTGCCTGCTTTGTGCCAGTGCAATAGCTGGGCTGTTGTGATGCTATTAATTCTGAATATCGCAAGATTTGATATCTGCTTAATCAAAAGACAAGTGCATTGTCAAAGTTCAGGACCTGAGTGCAAAGGTCTGCCACGTAAAGTCTGTTGCAGATACTTTGGGCTGCTAATCATATGTAAATAGAAAGAGGCTGGAGGAGGAAAGGGTGGGTCGATCTGAAAATAGTAAGATCATAGATTCTCTGGGTTATGTGCACACCTTGACCAGTTGCAGTTAAATTGTGATCCTATGTGTTCGTTTACAGGTGACGTGGCAAAAATGGCTTGCAAATAATTAAACTTTTGAGGGAGGTGGCATGTTAACAGTTATTTGCCACGGGTGCAGAATGCCTTCCAATGAGCCAGTGACAAGAAGCTTGTGAAAAAGGCAAAAGAAAAGCCAAGGCCTCCTTGAGGTGCGGTGCCGGGGTAGGTGGGCTGGGGAATGTGGAAAAGGAGAGGAGAGGGCTCCATGAGGCTGAGTGATGGGTGGTTGGTGACAGGAGTTACATAGAAGACAGGTGAACTAGTTGCATGAATTTATTTTTAGGCTTTGCCTCCTTCCCCGAGGTCGTGTTGGCTCTCACCTCTTAGCATAGCCTGTGCTATGTTTCAACTAAAGCCCCAAATTAAAAACAACAACTGTATATATATTTTTTTTAACTCTTTACGGGCACTGTTCTCAAATCTCACACCTTTTTGCTCTTTTGGGAAGTAGGGTGTTACCTGTGCAAACCTTCCTTTAGACTGTGTAAATGGGAGATCTGTAAGAAGCATAATCAGTGAACACATTTCCAGTTGTTTCACCCTGAGGTTGTTAAGATTTGAGTCACTGTGGGGGATGTAGCTTTCCTTTATACACAATTGCCTTCTTTCACAAAACTGAAAGGCACGTAAAATATCTATCCCATTTGCACTTACAGCAAAACTAAAAATTTACAGGCAGGTAGATTTAAAAAAATATATAAAATCAAGCCTTTTGGAGAAATGCAGCAGCAATAGTCTGGTAGTGTGTCACAGCAGGTGTGTTCTGCAAGGAAGGAGCATTGACTCATTTCTCCAGTGAAGTCTGGCATTTCATCTGGAAGTCTGCCTGGTGGTGACTGATTCCAGATCTTTCACAGGAGAACAGAGAATCCCTCTAGTGGGCAGCTGTTATTTAGGGAAAGCCTTAACGCCCCGAAGCGTGATGGTTTGTATGTCTTGGAAAGTTCTGTACCTTTATATGTGTGTTAGCTGCAGGTGATGTTATCCCTAGTGATAAAAATATATTTATTACTCTTTTTCCAATCTTAAAGCAAAACTAAAAATTTACAGGCAGGTAGATTTAAAAAAATATATAAAATCAAGCCTTTTGGAGAAATGCAGCAGCAATAGTCTGGTAGTGTGTCACAGCAGGTGTGTTCTGCAAGGAAGGAGCATTGACTCATTTCTCCAGTGAAGTCTGGCATTTCATCTGGAAGTCTGCCTGGTGGTGACTGATTCCAGATCTTTCACAGGAGAACAGAGAATCCCTCTAGTGGGCAGCTGTTATTTAGGGAAAGCCTTAACGCCCCGAAGCGTGATGGTTTGTATGTCTTGGAAAGTTCTGTACCTTTATATGTGTGTTAGCTGCAGGTGATGTTATCCCTAGTGATAAAAATATATTTATTACTCTTTTTCCAATCTTAAATTGTTAGTGGCATAGTGAGTTGAATAATTTCATAGTCTGGATACATCTTAGAAAATATCTTCGGTTTCTAAATTGGGTGTCTTTCCCATTTTCCTGGTCATCTTCTGGCTGTTTCTGAAGGGTAAATGGGAATGTTCAGTGCCTCCAAGGTGTTTGTCAAGTGTGGTATTTTGGAATTACACTTCATCAGCATTACCAACCATTGACCATAAAACTGTGCTGCTCTGAGCAACCCTACTTAAAAGTTGACTGTGTTAAAGTTAATATTTTGGAGTTGTCAACTTTCTTTTTAGTTTTCATTTCACCTTTATGTTGAAGTTTAAGCAGCTTTCTGCATTGTTTCTTTCACGGCTCCTAGCACAACACATTGAAGACATGAGATGTTTCAAGTTGACGTGTGATAATCTTGATTATTGTTGAAATTCTTTTTGATGCCTGCTGAAATGAAGTTAGGGAGCATGGCTCCTAGCACAACACACTGAGGACATGAGATGTTTCGAGTTGACGTGTGATAATCTTGATTATTGTTGAAATTCTTTTTGATGCCTGCTGAAATGAAGTTAGGGAGTTTGATTTTACAACTCAACTGACTACTGCAGAAGAACTGTGGGAGGGATGCTTAGTTTGATTTTACAACTCAAATGACTACTGCAGAAGAACTGTGGGAGGGATGGTGAAAAAAATTACCATCTAATTCTTCTTTAATCTCCATTTTAAAAGTTCAAAGTGCCGCTTTTCAAGTGATGTGTGATCTTCTGTAGTTTTAATTTCCTTTTCTAAGGAAACAAGTTCTGTGCAATTATGCTTTCTGACGGTTGTTAGTTGCTTTAACACGCTGGCAAATTGCAACCACTTTTGACAAAGGGATAATTCCTACAAGTTACATAGAAATGATTCCTGTGGAGCAGAGTTGAGACTCTCCCAGTGCTGCTCGTAGAAGAACTCAAGCCTTATTAGATGTTAGAGCAGCTCTCCAAGCAAGAGAGTTTATGATGCCTGAACTAGAAGTGACTTTGCTCTCTTGCCTTCTTAGACAGGAAAAACACTTGATGATGAGACACGTGTTTGAAAGAAACTTTGAGCACCATAATGTGCTGTTGGATACGGGGCTGCTTAAAGCAATTATTCCCTCGGTCAGAAATTTGAGTTCATGGTGTGATTTATTTTTTTTCCCGCTAATGATTCATTTATGTGATTTGCCTGAAGCAGAGTAAATGCCGTTTTTTTTTTTTTTTTTTTCTTTCTTGTGTGTAATAATCACTTAAAGTCTGCTGATTTAGAGCTGCTCTTTTATAGGAAGCTCGGATAACTTAAAAACAGTGATTGGGGCATCAGAAATATTTTGCATATTATTTCATAGTGTCTTTGAATGCGTCTAGAAATTGATGTCTTGGTTAAGAAAAATGTCTGTTTTCCTTTAGCCAAAATTCTTTCTAGGATATGTTTACCCACTGCACGGGAGATCTTACGTGGTGAATATGTCATCAGTGGGTTTTCTAAAATGTTTGTTATGGTTGTCTTTCAGGGGTTATGTGAGCTGCTGCATTAGTCTTCTGACATCTTGCCCTGAATACTCATGGTATGTCTGAAGGACAGATCTCTTGTGTGTTCTGAATGTACCAGGTAAATCCCAATAATAACTTTTCATGGGAGATTGTGACCTGTTAAAGAGTAAGAAGTCAAAAGAGAGCAACTTTTCGTCTATATTTAGTCCTAGCTGATTCTGTATAAAGAGCCTGAGAGGCTGGAGCCTAAAATTTATTTTTGTATTTGCATGTTATACTAGAAAATCAGATAACTGCTACACTAACACAACTGTTTATTGTTGTTTGTATATTCAATGCTTAAAAGGAGCCTAGAGGAGAGCTGGGGAGGGCCTCTTTACCAGGGAGTGGAGTGATAGGATGAGGGGTAACAGTTTTAAACTGAAAGAGGGGAGATTTAGATTAGATGTCAGAAAGTAATTATTTACTGTGAGGGTGGTGAGAGCCTGGCCCAGGTTGCCCAGAGAAGCTGTGGCTGCCTCATCCCTGGAGGGGTTCAAGGCCAGGTTGGAGGGGGCTTTGAGCAACCTGGTCTGGTGGGAGGTGTCCCTGCCCAGGGCAGGGGGTTGGAACTCAATGATCTTTAAGGTCCCTTCCAACTCTAACCATTTTATGATATTTGCAACATTAGTGAAGATGCAGTGTGTCAGTGGGAGTTAGCTCTTGAAGGCTTTTATGGAAAGTGGCTTTATTTGGCATTTCTGATGCTTGAAGTAAAGCAGAAGGAGGGCAAATACTAATATTTTTCAGGTAAATAATTCCCCTATCAAATCCACTGCCTCGCCTTTTTGTTTGAGAGAGGGAAAAAATGGCCATAGCTGTGACCTTTGAGAGCAGTCTGATTGCCTCCCAGTGACGCTGGTGTTACAAGGCAGTGGTGAATCAGCTCTTACCCTGACTTATTTCTGGCTAGCATATTAGATTGTACGTAGCTAATATCACAGCCATTAACAATTAACCTAATTTAATTTTTCATTTTCAGGTTGTCCTCATGAGTACTCCAGTGGAGAATGTCCATGATCTTCTTTGCCTGTGTGGTGCGGGTGAGGGATGGGCTTCCCCTCTCAGCCTCCACAGATTTTCATTTCAACCGGGACTTTCTGGAATGCAGAAAGAGATTGAAGGCATTATCCTCAATTCTGGCACAGTATCCAAGTCGAGGCACAGCAAAAGGACGTGACCTTAGCATTCAGTAAGTCCCTGCTTTTGTTTTTTTTTTTTTTTTTTTACTTTAATTTTTGAGATGGTTGTCCTGGGGATTGGTTGAACTTTAAGTTTGTTTGTTTTTTACTTTAATTTTTGAAATGGTTGTCCTGGGGATTGGTTGAACTTTAAGGATTGGGTATATTCTCTAGTGCCTTACTCCAATCTGAAATCCTACCCTGCGTTTCTGGATTGTAACACAGAATCATAGAATGGTTTGGGTTGGAAGGGACCTTAAAGATCATTGAGTTCCAACCCCCCTGCCCTGGGCAAGGGCACTTCTCACCAGAACAGGCTGCTCAAAGCCCCATCCAGCCTGGTCTTGAACATCTCCAGGGATGGGGCTTTCACAACTTCTCTGGGCAACCTGTTCCAGTGTCTCACCACCCTCACAGTAAAGAATTTCTTCATAATATCTAATCTAAATCTCCCCTCTTTCAGTTTAAAACCATTACCCCTCATCCTATCGCTCCATTCCCTGATACAGAGTCCCTCCCCATCTCTCCTGTAGGCCCCCTTCAGGTACTGAAGGGCTGCCATAAGGTCTCCTTTCTCTCCTCTGTAATTAACCTTTGAGAAGTATTTTGAAACCTTATTTCCCAGCACCAGAGCCACAGAGCTTCTGCTCAGTTTACTAAGACTTCTTGTTACTCACAATTAGCAACTGGATTATCTTCTACAAATACCATCTAAATGACATTCCAGTGCCTAGGAATTGCTTAGTTTAGTCTAAACCCCAAAACCCCTTTTCTTCAGTGACTGTCAGGCCTTGCTGATGCCTTCTCTCGGGCCCCTACGCTTCTGACTGTGGGTGGCACAGAACTGCCCTGACTCATCCTGCCCACTGCCCTCTCTGTTTCCTGCATCACAGGGGGGTTCAAGTCTCTACAAGCTCTGGTTGATGGGTGTGTCTTTCAGAGGCCTGGAGCAATTATCAGTATGGAGAAATTATAAATTTGTGCCTTTATTTATTGGAGAAGGGTCTCCTGGTCTTTATTTTAAGAAATCAATGTTTCATTCAGAGAGGAGAATTTTCATTTATTATTGATTTTAATTTAGCTCTAAAAATGAGTTTTAGCTTTTGATTGCATTTCTGGTTAGCAAATATAAAGAAACTTTCACGTGACCCTGAGCTAAAAACCAAGTATCGCTTTTTTGGGGGGGAGTGATTGGAGAAAGAAGATACATGAATTGACACACTGAATCAGTTGGAAAAGCAGAGATTAGCGTTTTAATTCCTTTTCCCTCAAAGTGAACTCGTGCCCTTTAATGCTACCGTGTTCTGCTGCTTTTAATCTTCTGTAGTCTCTGCAGAAGTAGCTGTGCATCTGGCTCCGAAACGAGAAGAGGGCAGACAGAGCCATGGCAAAAAGGCTATCAATTATTGACAACTGGGAAAGGTAGTTTTACACAGACTTGGTGTTGATCCTCAGCTCCGAGCGGGGGGTGAGAGGAATTTAGGGAAAGTATCCAGTGTAACTAGGCTGTAAGGGAGCTAATCAAAACCATAAATCCCAAGTAATGTGATAAAATAAGAGCCGGAAATATTTCTGCATGGGGGGTGAAATATATAAATAGTAGACAATGAATAAATTAAAAATGTGATAAAATAGGAGCCGGAAATATTTCTGCATGGGGGGTGAAATATATAAATAGTAGAAAAGAGAAAATACAGAGAGGAATTGTTCATCTTCAAAACTTTGGGTTGGTACTGAAATCTTGCTAACAAATGGCTGACCCATATGGGAAGATTTCCTCAGTCTGCTTTCAGGGATAATTACAAAGCTGTAATTATGGTGGGAATTGTGGAAGTTTAGCTGTCTGTGTTATGAGTGTTGACTCCTGAACTGGGTGCCCTGACTCCTGTTTCATCCTTTTCATCTTATTTCATCCTTTTCACCTACATTTTGGTGAGGTGAATCCCCTGTTAAGGTTCCTAGAAGGTTTTTGCACCATCTGTAAATGGAAACTTCTGCAGAAATATGGCTCCGGCGTTAGAGGAGGAGTTTTTGTCATGCTCTTTCTGATACAAATTAATCTTTATTTGTTAGAGATGCTCTAACAGTAACAGTGTTTGAATATCTTGGTTTGTGCAAGTTAACGAATCTCTTAATATGTTATATTGATGTATCAAATATGTTAATATGAAGGCGAGTGAGGCTTCTGCCATCTTGTTTCTTATTGACATGATTTAAAACTAGCCTGGAAAAAGAATGCCCTTATTTTTTACCAACGTAGCAATTTAATAAAATCTCTATTGTGATCTTTAGTATGCCGAGGCACGCTCGGTGAGTTAAAGATAAGCGTTAGGGCTGCAAACTATACATTTTATTGCAGCCTGCTCTTTCAGCACGGGCTGTGCATCTTGTTTTTCACAGAAAGCACGGTTCTGCCTCTTCTATTTCCTAATATTACCTTTTTTTTCTTTTTTTCCCTTATTTCAGTTTCCTTTCTTCCGGGGATATAGCCTGCATGGCGATCTGTTCCAGCACTTACTCAACCATCATGGCGTTTTGCTTCCTGGAAGAGCTTCAGTGGGAATTTGCTGCTTCCTACGACACAACGAGCATTGGTTTAGCTTCCAGACCGTATGCTTTTCTTGAATTTGGTTTGTAATTTTATTTTATACTAGTAAGAATTCTTTGCTACCTTGATGATGTTAAACATTGTCTCCTGGCCAAAGCCTGATCGTAAAAATGCATCTGTTTGTGTGCCTTCGCGTGCAGGTGTAGGAGGAGGGGGAGATGTTGTAACTGCATTAAACAGTCAGATTATTGGTTTTGCAGTTCCTGACAGCCCCTGTAATAGATGAACAAAATGCTGTGGTGATTAATAAACAAACAGAAAAGAAAAAGAAACCCACGTCTCAAACATTTTCTATCTTGATTTAAAAAAATTTGACAAGAGGAGGCAGATGGGTACAGGAAAGAAGGAAGACAGAATATATTATTATGGGCAGCTTTACCTCTGGCATGATTTACATTCATATAATACTTCATAAGGATACCTGGTGTTTCTTTTCTAACCTGATATAAATGCTTTTTTTGCCCAGTAGCAGCTGCTTTACTGAACCTCACACCTTTGAAAACCACAATTCCCTTGCAGTGAGAAACTCGCTTCTGGGAAAGGATAAGATATTGCAGTGAGTTAGCACATTTCTATCAGATTTTGGTAATAGTGTGAAGCTCATGCTTAAAAAACGAGAAATCCACATATTAGCATATATAAAGCATATTATACAGCCATGCTGTATTTTGGGTGGATTCCCTGAGGGCACTTTCCAGGTATGATGTAATTTTATGCTGAGATCCAAATTACTCCTTTTTTATTTTAAACTTAAATAGGAATTTGGGAATTTTAATCCTCTTTTAATTGCATAAGGCTGTTGGCTTTTTAATATTTTTTTTTCATTTTTAGTATCATATTGTGTGTTTTTTACTGACTCTGCTTAATGTTGCTCTGTGGGTGTTTAGGTTTTTTATTTTTTTTCCCCGTGTTTGGATCCAAGGTGCATTTGATGCATAAGATCTTGGCCTTTTGCCTAATAGTTACACATAATTGTAGCAGGCTGTCTTAAGGTAAAATACAGGATTTTTCAGTAAGGATTACTTATGGCACAGTGTGTCCTTGCACAGCAAGTCCTCCTGTGTGCTCTCAAAACTCAGGCTTAAGCTATTACATATGTATCATATCCAGTAGCAGCTGACCTCTGTCAGTCTTCTAGCATAACAATATCTTAAAGATATGGATTTTTCTTATAGGATATCTTAGCAACATAAATGTTTCTGCATTTTATTTCCCTAAGCATTTGAAATAGCTTGAATTTTCCAATATCTTTGCACAATTAAATAGGACGTAGCAGTATCTACGATGAGGTACTTCAGCTCTGGAGGTGTGAGAAACAACATTTTCTACTTACTCTCAGTGCAGCTCCTGTCAGACCAGCAGCCACATTCGTGGAAAGGGATTTGCTTGCAAATGGGATTAAATTTAAAGTGTGAGAGATAAAGCAAGGTGATCTGTACGTAGATGCGTGGCTTGGACATTGGTGCAGTCACTATGGAATTGCCTCTGCCAGAGTCGCTTCATGACTCAAATATAGGTTAAATTAATTTCTCTCTGTGCTGGAGAAAACCTAATCCTTGACATTGTTAAAGCACAACGTGGAATTGCTTCTCATGGTGGTACATGGGTACATGGGTAGCTTAAGATACGTGTCACATCCACCCTGGAACATGAAAGCTTGTTTTCAGTCCACTGGAAGGCAGGATGTTGAGATTTAAAGGACTCAGAAGGGAGTGGGTGTGATATAAAATACCCAGGAGAGGTTATTTTGTTGCCTAACCAGTGGTGGAATTTTATACCTGAAACTAATAAGAAAAAAAATGAAGGGAGAAATTAAAAACAGTCAAAAAAGCATGCTATAATTTGATTAATATTTGCCTAAAGCACTTAACTTGCAGAGCTAATTGAAGCATGTTTTCATATTGTTTCAGATAATGTTATTCAGAAAGTGAAACACCATTTTAACCGGGCGAGTCGCTCTCAAATGAAGGCCAACTGGGAGAAGGTTGAGGAGGAGCTGAAGTTCCAGCCTCCAGTTCAGCTGAAACTGGAGGACACGGAGCTGATGAACGGGATGACGAACGGTGGCCCTGCTGGTGTTCATGTGGAGGTTGGTAAGTTACTACTACACCCAGGTGACAGCAGACTTCCTGGACCTAACACAGAAAAACGTGTGACAGCAGTCATTCCTGAAATATATATATACTGGAAAATATATATATATAATCTGTATGAAACCCAAGGAAATAAAACCTGCCTTTCTATCATAGTAAACAACATATGGTCTTTAGATTATAGCAGGTCTGCATCAGAGCCTTTAAGGACTCTTGGTGGTGTCCTTTTTTCCCCACCATAGATCAGCAGCTCCATATGGACAGTTGATTTTAACTGGACTTGGCATTTTCCATGTTCAGTTAATTCTCCTGCTTTTGAAGTAGTTGTTTGGTAGATTTTGTATGACAAAAGAAGCTCCGCTAATTCATTGCTTGTTGCAGACTCTAATGGGAGAGACATAATTACAGTCTCAATGAGTTGCTTCAGCCTTGAAGAAAGAAAAGATGAGAAAAACATGAGCTGAGGGTAAAACTCATTCCCAGACTGTCCATCTTGGGTTGTTCTTCCCTCTTTGCTTTCTCCTTTCTCCTTGTTCTTTAAAATTGAATGCATTTGACTGAAATTCTGAAAGAGGCTATGTTTATCTGTATAAACAACCTATAGAGGCTTGACAGGAGATCTTTTTGTAATGTATACTGTCATTTTGCCTGCTGCTAGAAGTACTAACCCCTACTTACTTATTGTAAAATTGGCATCTTCTTATTTGTGTTTCAGTTGCATAGTCAAAGGTCCTGCCTGCTTCCTCTACGAGATGAAATGATTTTAATCCTATTACCACGGCTGTTTAAATGCAGCTGCAGTGCCATAAGCTTGTATTTCCTCTTTTTTTGTTGTCCTTGGCTTATGAAACACTAATAAAATTAAGTCCCAATTGCTCAGTCTTATTGTCTCTGATGGATGAGCTGGAATCTAATGTGACGTAGGTATTTTAAGTTCAAATATAGAGGGGCAGTGGCCAGGAGGAAGAAAAAAATAGAATTGAGAACATTTTGTTTGCCAGTCAGGTTTGTGAGTGCTCCTCAGAACTGTGCTTGAAGGTTAAATATTTTCATAATGTGACAGGGATTAGAAATTTTTTTGCACTTGTGTGAACAGTTTCAGTGCCAGTAAACATTTGCAAGCTGGTTTGTGTCCCCAGATCAGAAATGCATTTTCAGTTTCCCCTTATTGTTAATTGCTTTCTTTCACTTTCCATCTGGCTTCGTATTTCTGGCTGTTCTCTCTGATCTAACCCAAATACTCTTACAGATTGTTCTGCCTTTATTTTAAGGATGGTGTTTATGATCATCTGTTTCCCTCGGCTGGAGTCAGCTTTCCTGGCTTATGTCTCTCTCTGCTCATCATTACCTACTGGCTGAATCTAAGTTTAGCTGTGTGGATAAGTGTTTGTTCCCAAATTAATGTTACTGATACTGTGGCTGAGGCCTCTTGAGCATGCGTTGAAATGTTATCGTTGCAGGAGAGCAGAATTTAATTGCTTCTACATTTTAGAGTGAAGATAGATCAATCAATCAGTGGATAGATCAAAGCATGGGTCTCCTTACATGGTGGTAGCTGGTCCCTGTCTTCTTTTGAGCTGGTGTGATCACATCCCCTGGCTCTTCATCTTGGTGTGAGAGGAGAAGGCGTCTGAAAAGTCAGAACAGTTTTGTCCTTGTTAGTATGTATAGGAACAAGAGCCTTTCTTTATTTTTGTTCTGTCTTGTATTTGTTCCTTCCTTCGTTAACTAAACCCAGTTCTTGCTGGAGAGACTCTAGCATTGTATCCTTGACCAACATCTACACAACCTCAGCTCGTGTTGCAAAAGCCTCACCTTGTGCCTCGCTACGGGCACAGCCGATAACGCTCCGGAGGACGGTGGGGTGTGTGTGGAGAAGAAATGTGAAGTGTAAGGAGCTTTCTGTGAACAGGGGGAATTTTCACATCAGAACTAGCTCTCTGAAGTAGAAGAACAACTTGTGCTCTTCGGCTAGTAAGCGTGCTGTTAAATTATGCAGCAATGTGCTCCCCTTGATGAATGTTCTTCATCTTTTGTAGGCACGCAGGGAGTCCTTCACAGAGTCCTTTTAAAGGTGGTTTTTGAAGATGTCACACGTCTCTGCCTTTTTGTGTGCTTGGATTTTATTTTAAAATGTTGGAATCTGGTTTTATTTTTCACCCCTTGTGCTGGCTTTATCCGGAGCTTTGAGTATGTGACTCATTGTCAAACCCTTGTTGTGCTTTGCCTTGAAGAGACAGAATGGATTGTGGTACAGGCATTCATGTCAGTCTCCTCTTAAATACCCACAGGCCTTGCTTCACAAAATCTTTTATAAGCAGAAATTTCAATTTTTTCGTTGCGTGAGGGTGTTTTCACAGAATTGTTCTGTACCTGTTCAGACCTGGAGATGCGTTTGTCCTGGGTGCTGGATGATCCACAGCACCCAGAATATCTTCTGGATGGTTCTTGTGCTCTGAAGCGCACAGCTTTCCTACTTGAAGAGTCAGATCAGTTTGAATCCTAATTAGCATTTAATTGTGTTTGTGCCAAGTTGTGCTGTCTTGAACTAAGAGTGCTTGTACTCTCTTGTTCCCTTATTTAATGTATTGAGAAGTTCTAGTATGAAACTCTGTTTATAGAAATAGGATTGAATTCACACTAGAAAGTGTAATATTTTTTTTCCTGGCAGTGCCCATCTGACTTGTTCTGTGTGTTTTCAGTTTGGGAGTTAAACCTCAGAATGATATAGCAGAAATAAAGCTCCACAGCAAACAATTTAAAGCTCAGTCTTCACAAACCATGAACCCTGAGCAATTGGATATTGTTATCTCCCCTGCATCTCTGATAGCAATTCTTTTTATCCTGCTGGATGAAAAAAAAAATGTAACTTTTACATAGTACTCCGTGCCTGCAGAAACAATATATTGAGACTTGCATCCTTCTTCCCTGGGGATTGAAAATTCTTGCTATGTATAGTTTGCAAGATCCTGTGCAATGAATGACACTTGTGCTTGATAATTTTTCTTTGTTTGGGAGACACCGTGTGCCTCTGAAGGAAAGCTTAGAAACTGAGCAAGAAGAAACAGTAGACTCTATTAGAAAAACTTCCATGAGGGAGATACATAGCTGAACATTATTTAATTTATCAAAAATAATAGGATGCTGAATACTTAAGGCAGTGAAAGAATGAACATGGTGGTACAGCTTCTGCTCAGTGCTCTGTTTGGACCTTAAATTTCCCTGCATAGCAAAAAAGCAAAATTGCTTTTGAATGATAGAGCTACTTGTACCATTTATTTACATGAACATGTGTATGACAATAATATACAGTAATGGCTAGATAATGTGACATATATCAAATGGAATTAATACAGTTCCTTTTGCAGCCACTTTGGAGAGGAAATTAGGGATGTATGAATGCATGCCAGACAAATGAATTCCATAGGCATTTATAAAAGATACTTTATATCCCTCTATTAATTTGGCACCAAACTTTTTTTACATCCATCTATCAAAATCTCTCTTGGAGGAGAAGACGCAAGTGTTTTCTATATTAACCCATGCAGTGCTGCAGTATTTAAGCTGCTACAGTGCTTCATCTCTCACTGAAACAAAGGCAGGGGTGATGCGTGTCCAGAGATTTACTGTGTCCAGCTTTGAGGTCCCCAACATCAGAAGGACATGGAGCTGTTGGAGCAGGTCCAGAGGAGGCCACGGAGATGATGGGAGGGCTGGAGCCCCTCTGCTGGGATGACGGGCTGAGAGAGTTGGGGACGTTCAGCCTGGAGGAGAGAAGGCTCCAAGGAGACCTCCAAGCCCCTTCCAGTCCCTGAAGGGGCTCCAGGAAAGCTGGGGAGGGACTCTGGATCAGATAGTGGAGCAATAGGGCGATGGGTAATGGTTTTAAACTGAAAGAGGGGAGATTTAGATGAGATATTAGGAAGAAATTCTTTGCTGTGAGGGTGGTGAGAGCCTGGCCCAGGTTGCCCAGAGAAGCTGTGGCTGCCCCGTCCCTGGAGGGGTTCAAGGCCAGGCTGGATGGGGCTTGGAGCAACCTGGTCTGGTGGGAGGTGTCCCTGCCCATGGCAGGGGGTTGGAACTGGATGATCTTTAAGGTCCCTTCCAACTCTAACCCTTCTATGATTCCATGTCTGCTGTGTCCCTTAGTTTACCTACAGTAGTCAGGAGCTGGCTCCATCTGCACAGGAGGCAGAAGATCCTGAGAGCTGGGGAAACTTCTTGAGGGCCATTCATTCTCTCTTGTATCTTATGGATGTTGGTGCAGGGGAGGATCTGGATTTGGTATCTGAGCTGCAAATTAACCTTCTTATTGACAATGTTCTACTTGTGGTGATCCAAGGGCAGGGATGAAATGTAGGTGAGTATCTAGGTGTGGTATCTGTTGTTGGGCTGGCTGATACAGCTAGGGGAAAAAAATAGGTGAGCTTTTGGACAACCAAAACCCTGAAAGGCAGATTCCAAAGTTACATAAGCTTTTATTGTAATTGCTTTGACCTTAATTGGGTGTGTATCAATTAGATCATGATGAAGAAATGGTATTTGGTGGTGTGGGTGTTAAGTAGTAGTAGTGGAGAAGGCAAGAAAGGAAGGAGGCAAGTAATTCGCTACCTGTGAGACATGGGCAGGTTGGGAGAAAGGGAATTGTAGTGCACTGTAAAATGTGGCTCCAAGTCCAAAAACTAGTGTTCAGTTTATTTCCTAGGCCTCAGTTTTGACCATGTTTTGTCAATCTGAGAGACCCAGAGGTAAGAACAGCAGTTCTGTGACAGGCGTCTCCCCACTGTGACTGGGTGGTGCCATCTTGACAACTCCTACAACAGCAGAGCAAAGTCCTTGGCTCTCCAGGTGTATTTTGGAACTGCTTGATTAGGACACCAAATGCTGTATGGAAACTATGCAGGTGGGACTAAACTGCTGTATACCTGACTGAACCCTCAAATGTCACTGGGAAGAAATATGGAATTACTAATTAAGGAAGAGATCAATTGTTGTCTTGCTTTTACGGGCGTCAGAAATGTAAGCTCTTTCTCAGACTGTTGGGTTCTTGAAACCCCTCACTTTTCTACTGACCTGTGGAGAGCATTAAGTGTGTCAATCTGCTGTAATGAATAGCTGAAAAATACCTGTATGCACCATAAAAGAAGACATGAACACCAAATAGCTCAAGAAAAAATTCTGTTGCTTAATCTGTTTAAAAAAAGTACGCTGGAGCGCTTGCTGATTTCTAGATGTCTGAAGAACTGAACAGTTCTTCTGTAATGCAACCCAAAAAAAGTTTTTTCTATTCATAATTGGTCTTCTCTGGAGCAAGCATGAAAGGTTTTGAAAACGTTTAAAACCCACATAAGCTGATTTGAGTCATTTTAAGTTAAAAAGATTCAGAGGAATAGCGCTAACTTTCACTCATGTCTTCCTTTTTTTTTTTTTTTCTTCTTTTATTTTTTTTAAGTCCCTACGTACAGAATGCAGCCTGTGACTCCCCTGGGGATTCTGTCACTTGTTCTGAACATCATGTGTGGAGCTTTGAATCTCATTCGAGGAGTTCACCTGGCAGAGCATTCATTTCAGGTAACCCTGATTGAATTGAAACCTGTAAATGAGTGGAAGAGAGAGAGCTATTTGGGTAACCAGATTAAGGGTGGCTGTTCTGCTTCTCAGTAGAGCATACATCATTCCACAAGAAGGGTTTTGTTTGTCCAGGGAATGTACAGTTGATTTCTCACCTGCTAGACCTCATGGGTTTTGTTATATATTGTAGCACATTGTGTTTTATTCTTTTCTAGGGAGATTAAAATTTGGAGAAATATTTCAGTCTTGCCAGGCTGACTGGATTATTTTTTTTCCCATTCTTGTATTTTGTTCCAGATGCTTTTGTGTAATTTTTTTTTTTAAACAAATGTGAAAATGTAAACAACTTTTAAAAAAGGAAAATAAAAAGAAGGCTCCTGATTGTATGGTGGCACAGTTTTATTTAGCTGTCACATCCCCCTCAATTCTTGGTATTTTGTTCAATGATATTGATCTTGCTGTTTAACGGTGTTACAGTCAATCAGCATAAACTAGGATGAGAGGTACTTGATAAAATAGAGTGTTCTAAAATATCAAGTAGTACTTGCTAAAAACGGTAGCTGATGTAGTTGTTTCTCACTTCTTTTAATCCAAACAGGAGGACCATGAAGGAATTGGAAATGTCATAGCTTTTTTACTACCTTTTCTAGCCTGTGTTTTTCAGGTATGTTAACAGTAAATAAAATGCTTTCTGATTGTTTTTATATTGTATTGTACAAGACAAAATAATTTTCAACTCAGCAGAGGAACAGTGTGGTGTTCAGTTTCCTACTGAAGTGATTCCACTGAGGTATTCCAGTGAAGGGCCACAAATACAGTTAAAGGCACAGTTTGACCCTTGACAAATTGCAGTTACAAGCTTTTTCAGTGCTTTTATGTAACGTGCCAAATGGGATAAATCAGCTGCTCGCCCCAAAATGGTTTGTTTTCCCAAAGGGACAGACTCAGTGTCTTTCTGACAATGGCTTTTGATGGGCTTTTGTAGCTTAACTACCTTGAAAGACTAAGCAACATCATTGAAAATGTTCTAATTTGTGTTTAAAGTTACTTTTAATTCTTGACAAATGTGGTTCCTGACTTGGATTTCTAATGGATTATTTTCTCTGACCTCCTTATGCAGAAGAGTTTGAATGAGAAAAATATTGTATGCCCCAAGTGGGTTCTTCTTGAAGGTTCCTTAGGTGCCTTTAAAACAGTGGTCCACAACTTGAGGGCAGTATTTTGTTTGCAAAATCATCAATTTTTAGGCTGTCATCACAGGAAGCTGCTGTAGGTGGGTCAGTAGTTGATGGAAGGAATAATATAAGGCCTTCATTGTATTAATTGCTTAGTACTATTGCATTTTGCTAATGGTTTGGGGACTGCTATGTCTGAAGACATCTATTTATCTGTGATATTTCAACCTATCTATTTATTGTATCATAATAGATAAAATGTAGTGTCTTTCAGCCTTCTTACACCTCTGCTTAGGACAGAGCTTTAAGAGGGAGATACTCATTTGGATGTGAATACTTGGTGCAAGTCATTCTTCCCAAAGAAAGGCTCCAACCTGGTTTTTTTCCAGTTGGTACCTGAAGCCAGAGAAGCTAAATAAAGAAGAGGTCTCTCTTACCGTTCTGATCTAAAGCAGTCATCTTCACAAAATGCCTGTGCATAAATTGAGCTCGAATGTGAAGAGCTTTCTATGTGCTGATCTCTACTTGTGTCATCAGCACAGTTGGAAACTGTGACCTTAAGTGAGACAGCATGATCTGTTACCGCCGAAGTTAAAAAAGTAACTCTTCTGCCAGCACTTTAGTGAGTTTTTTAGTTTTCTCCTGTGAGGGCTGTTGCTCTTCACACATGCTTAGCAAATGGGTTCCACCTGTTCTTGAATTTAAAAGGAAAAAGAGCCCTAAACCCCAGAAATGACGTTCTTTCCACCTAGTGTAGAGAATAAAATCCTTTAGTTATGGCAGGAACAAATAGCACAGGAGCAGATTTGGATTTGCCCTTTTCCTGCTTTGAGCTTCATGGTGACCACCATCATGGTAGGCACATCCAAGTGACGTGGATGTTCCACCTCCCACCTATGTCCTTTGTCTTTGTGTCCATGATATAATGCTAACACTTGTCTCTCTCTGCTCCTTTCCTAGTGTTACTTGTACCTCTTCTACAGCTCGGCGAGGAAGGTGAAGACGTTTGTGCTCTTTGTCTCTGTCTGTTTCTGCAACGTTTACTTGTACGGGTTGCGGAACCTCTGGCAAATCGCCTTTCACATAGGAGTGGCATCTCTTTCTTCTTATCAGATACTCACAAGGCAACTGCTGGAGAAACAGCCTGACTGCGGAGTATGAAAAAGACTTGGGGTTTGCTACTCTTATTTTTACAACTGGTTTTGTTTTGTTTTTTTTTTGTATTAAACTGGCCAAAAATAGTTTGGAATATTTTTAAAGATTCGCGACAATTGGTTGTTGCAAGGAGGATTGTTTCAAAGCAGCTTGAAATAAAGTAGGAAACTGTAATGGTGTCAAACACACGGCGAGGGATGTGGCTGTATTTAACATGGTGTGTGGTAATTTGTGCATGGGAGATCTTGTCTGGTGTCCTCAACCAGGAGGAGGTTCTCCTTACTGTAAACAGGCTTTTACTCCTTGACTAATAGCATCCAGACAGCATTTTGCCATTTGTCTTACTGGCTTTGTAACAGTTTGGCAGGTCGATGTCTTGCCCGGCCAGTGCTTCCAAAAATATTAAAATTGTAGAGTAAAATGAAGAGAAAGTGGTGGGTAACATTTTTGTCTCTAGAATTTGTTGAGTGTTAAGATTCTTGGTAAATGTAAATAAAGGGGTTTGCCATCATTAGATGAGTTCAGTATCAGTGGGAAAAAAATGTTAGGAGGAGCTTCAGGGTAATTTGTCCGGGTTTTGAAGGAAAGGAAAAAGCTGTGGCTCTGTTAAAAAACATAAAGGCTATAAATATCTCCTGGCTAAACAGCGCATTGTAGTTAAGTATGTGCTCATTGGTTAATTGCAAATATGCTTGGGGCAGCATAAAATAAACCAAGTGAATATAAGTGATCTTTCAGCTCAAGTGGCCTTTATTTCCTTGGTTAAGGTCACTCTTGGTATAAAGGTAATTCCATGTTGGCTTGGTCTGTACGGATAATAAATCTTTCAAGCCTCCTTATGACAGGCCACTGACTCCTTCACCTTTTTTTTTTTAAAAAAAAAAGTAGCTGGTGAGTAGAAAGCCATTTCCAGTAATGGAAAGCAAGAGCAGGTTCTCTTTATTCTATAAAACACCTTTAGTTAATGGCGTTGAGTTCTTACACTAAGATGAATTTATGAGTGTGCACTTTTGAATGTAGTACTTAAGAGCAGAAATTCTTGACCTCTGCTGCACTGGGTGTTCTTGTGTGTGATGTACTGAGGTGCATGTGGGCATTTTAGAACATACATGAATAATTTAGGCTGGCTGTTTTAAAAAAGAAAAAAAAAACCAAGCATAGCATTTTGATGCAGCTGCCCTTGAAAGGTTGTAGAGATTCAAACAGAGAAGATGTAGAGAACTCCAGGTGTGTTACTGTGGAAATACGGTCCTAGATTTTCTTCTAATTTTTTTTTTTTCTTAGGAAACTGTTTTTTGGTCTCCCCATTTCTTCCCCCCGACGTCCCTCACCAAAGATGGCTTTTCCTCTCCCAAGTCTCTCCCTCTAGTGGTTGCAAAGTGATTAATATGATGCAGAGCTGTTTAACTGAGTTTGCAGAAATACTTAACAAAATTGATTTCTTGCTTCTCAGTGAATTTTCCTGGAATCTCCTCTTGCAAACACGAGTATCCGTGGGCTACTAGGAAGCCTGTGGTGCTGTGCTGCAACCATGACATCCGTAGGCAGTCCCTTACACCCTGAACAGTTTCTAGCACAGCAAGAGCTTTTTCCAGTAGTCAAATGTAGGTATTTCTTTTCCATCCCATATTAGCCCATTTGCTGCAACAGCGACGTAATGAAATCCTTTAAACTGTGAGGAATAGTCTAAGAGGAACGATGGAGGAATATTTTAGCCAGGCAGATAAGAAAACAGCTAGAGCTGTGTGCCATAAGGGAATGCTCTTCTGTTATAAGGGAGTGGATTAAAATTGTCTGTCATTGCCCCAGTGTGGAAGGGAAATGAGGCCAGAATTCACCCACTGTCCTTAAGACACCCAGATGACCCCACAGATGGTGGGGTTTAGTGCTTTTAAGTTTCCTGGCTGTTCAGTCCCAGTTTTACTTGGGGATATGACCCGAATCCCAGCTCCTGCCCCTTTAGCCTCCAAAAAGAATCCAAAAGAGCTTTCCTGCTTCTCTGGAGGCTGGGATAAAGTTCTTCTGCTATAGCTTAAGGCACGTGGAGCATTTACAATGGGGCATGGAGCCCAGGAACCATTATCTGCTTTTTATTCCTTGTATTGAGCTGATGGGAAGAATCTGTAACGTCCCTGATGCTTCCCGAGGACCTGACTCTCTGCTTCATCGTAAAACAAGTCCATCCCTCTGCCAGGTGACATTAGCAACAGCTCTGCAATAAGAGAGGGAGATAAGGGAGATAAGGGAGAACGAGGTGTTTAGATAGCTTGTGTAATTAATGTTAATTAGAGCGGATGAGGATCAAATGGAGCTTTTTGTTTAATATTTTCTTTTGCTTGAAAACGTTTCAGCAAAATCAAACAAAACCGGTTGGTTCAGTGCTGCCGCTGGTTAAATTTTTTGTGGATTAGATGGAGGATGTGACTAGATCTTTTCTTAAATGAACAAAGCTCTGGTTTGCTGTTAGTCTTAATCCCTTTGCAACCATTTTTTTTTTTTTCCCTGTAATATGTGTAAAACATATTGAGGAATCTATACGGATTAATATGTGTGCATTAGAATTGGGATTATGATTCAGGGATGAGGCAGAGCGTGCATAGTTTGACCTTATTTTACCTTTTTTCTCCTCCCCTTTTTTTTAAAATGTTAATATTTTGAACTACTCCCGTATCTGTATGGTGTTTATACAGTTAAATTTTTTCTTCTGGTGAAACAGCAAGAGGAATAGCATAGTTTCCATTGATCTCAGTGCTTTAAGATGTAATAGAAAAGAATGATTTGCAGTTGGAGTAAGTGAAATCTGACTCATAACGTGGGATTACGCCTGTATTGAATCAAATCCCCCGACAGGAATCCATCCCTTTTTGTTCGACTTTAAACTGTTTAACGTCGTTTGAATTGCGTCTCCTTAATTCTGTCACTTTTCAAGATAAGTCTTTTGGAAACTCTTCTCCTCACCCAGCAGCTCAGCAAAAGAAAATTGGCAAAGAATAAACTTCATTAATTTAAAGATTTGCAGTGCTTAGTCACTTTACGAAGCTGATCGTTTCCTGTGGGGTTGTTTTTTTGTTTTAATTTCCTTTCTCCCAAAGACCCGTTCGGTTTGTAGAAGGTGGGCTGGTACCTTTTTAGACATTTTTGCACTGTATTAATAATTGAACCTGTGTAAATGTGTACAAAATCATTTTGCATGTATATGTATATATGTACATATATCTAATAAATGGCTTTTTTGTAACGGTTGTCTTCATTTATGGTTGTGAAATAGCTGGTGATATTAGAAACAAGGTCGATCAGTCGTTTCATCTTTGGGTGCATCTTTAGTGGTTCGTGTGGTGGTGATCAAAATGGTTTAAGAATAAGCTCAGTTCTTCTCTTTAGCAAATAGCTTCAGGATCAGAGTGATTTTGGATGCTGTTGTGGGTCGTGGATTGGATGTGCTCAGGGTGCCTCTCGTACCTGATCTCTCTGAGCCCACACCAGCTCTTTTTGTTGAGGGGGATTTAGGGAGGATTTTTATTCCGGCAGCTACACGCTGAAGAGTGACTGATTCATCAGCTGAACCGTATAAATATATTTATAAATATGCATATAGAAACTTGCTTATCCAAGCAACAGATTGCAGGAGGCTACGATATCATCTCTGTGTAGCTTTAACAGTCTTGCTCTTTGCTTTCAGAGCCCGTGTTATAGAGGCTTCTCCCGCAGAACTTGCATTTTTGAAGTGTTGAAGTACCTGAAATAAAGATGTAACACGGTCCTGTAGGTCCTTCTCCAGCTGCCTGGCAGTGAGTAATGGAGATTTTGCAGATTGCTGTTAGATTTTTCAGCCTAGTCTCTCAATAGAACTAGGCCTGTTAGTCAGTCAGTCCCTGCTTAGGGCTTATGGACTTTTTTTGGCCAAATTCAGCCACTTTTTATAAAGGCTCTGAAAGCACTGCTTCATCAGGCTTTGTAGAAATGAATGGCTTTATGCAAAATTCAGCATTCCTCCCCCACTGCCTGAATGTGTCAGGTTGAAGTATTGTGCTTTGGGAGAGTGATGCTTTGAAAGGCAGGACTCACAGAGCACCCTGCCTAACCCAGAACCGAAGAATCAGGTAAAAAATCAAAAAGCTGGAAGAAATCAGGCTTGTGGAAATGCTGGTTTCTTCCCATTTTTCTACTCCCTGTTTCTCCACGGGCACGATACGTAGATATCTGTAGCAGGGGCAAAACATGCTGGGTGAAGGGCTGGGTTCTTCCACTGGTAAAAAGTGAAATTTTTTCTTGTTTCTGAGGCTTATTCCTCATCGAGAAGGCGGTTGTGGCTGAAGTGGAGGTGGGAGAACTGTGAATTCTTGAGTGTTATCCCTCTGCTTGGAAGTTCTATCCCACTCTTTGCCTGGACTTGGCCTTTTTAGCCTTGGAGCTTGCTGGGTTGCTGGGAAAGAAATGTCAGAAATGTGGGTTTGGGACGGTTACGGTGCTGCAGAGAAGGAGAAGCAGAGCAAGAGCAGAGCCTGCGTGTGCCCCTGCAATGAGGAGAGAGGCAGAGCAGGAGGGTGTGCAGACAGGAGGTGGTAACAAGCAAAAGCTGGTGGCAGGGGAGGAAAGAGGGAGGAGACAGCCTTGTTCTTCTGAACTGCTCTGCCCTTTGAAATCTAGATGCTATTTTTGCTCCGTAAATAAATGATTGCTCAAAGCGTCTCTCTTCTCGAGATGCCGATGGAGAAGAGCAGCAGCCTTTCCCTTTTTTGTTTTTTTTTTTTTTCTCTAAGGTGAGGGGGAAAAAGCAATTATAACTCCCTTCTTCTTTTGAAGATGCTGATAAAAGGAGGTGGGAGGATCAGAGGGTCCCCGTGCCAAAAGAGGAACAACTCCTGAGGTGATAGAAATACATGTTTTTATTTTAAACAAAGCAACTCGACACTTCTGCTGCGTGCTGACTTTCAGACGTGACCTAATTGCATCTAAAAACTGTTTTGAGGTGGGGAGGGGGAAGGAAACTGTGGCCACGAGATGAAGAACAGTTCTGTCTTCAAACATGTTACCTCCTCGTGATGCTGGCTCTCTTGGCTCTTGTGTCCAAGGCCACTCTTGGAGCAAGACCAACACCAGGGGCTGTTGGAACGTTCTCTCTTGAGTCATGTTTGCTTTTAAGAGCCATCCACCACGTGCCTTACCCTCATCAGTGAGGTCCCTCCACTGAGGATGTGAGCTGAGGGGGTCAGAGGCTTTATTCCACGTCTGTTGGCTTCTACAGGTTGTCTGCAAATAAATCTCTACAAAAGGTATGACCTTTTGGAGAACACCTTGGGAAGAAGCAATATCGTGTCTACAGGAAACGAAGGTGTGTTTGAGCTCCTTGGAGAGGGAAATTAACCCTCTTCCCTTCAGTCTGTCTGTTCCAAAAGACTTAACAAAGGGATTTTTTTTAAATTTGACCAATTGCTGTGCAGAGTTTTCCCTCTCAAGTGTTGTTCTGGCAAAAACGAGGACCTCGGAGTGGGAGTGAATAGTTTCTGCAACGTTTGCCACGCTGCAAATGTGAAATATCCTGCAGCTGTGAGTGAATTCATCAGGTGCTTCAGGAAGGGCTGGTCAAGGAGAGGAACCACTAACTTCTGCAGGTGGGCCCACAGATAAAAGGTAATAAATATCCCTTCTCTTGGGGTTGCCCCCCCCAAGATATGGGAGTAGCTTTTTTTCCCTGATGAATAACACCATGAACATGAGCTCGTGCATCTCTTAGATTGGCTGAAGCTAATTGTTCATCAGGAAGATGCAGCTAAAAGGGGAGGTGTCTCCCCATCCCTGAGGCTGCAGGTCTTCCCCATTTTTTTCTAGCCCTGGGAGG